CGATTTCCCCCCTTTGCTCCTCGTGGCTCGCTGTTGGATCCGTCGGTGACCCTGGTCTGGATGGATGGATGGGCAGATCAGGATAAGATCGCGGACTTCGAGATGAAGCTCATGGACATCGACAGCGAGCACCTCGGCATCCCCGACTCCGAGTACCAGGCCATCGTCCGCATGCCGTCCTCCGAGTTCTCCAGCATCTGCAAGGACCTCAGCAGCATCGGCGACACTGGTATGCTGAATACCAGTTTCCTGAAAAAAAAATCTGCTGCACTTGCCGTCTCTGTTTCTTACATGCCTGACGGCAGCTTCTGGTCCGTGCGTTGCAGTTATTATCTCTGTCACCAAGGAGGGTGTCAAGTTCTCCACTGCTGGAGACATTGGGACTGCAAACATCGTTTGCAGGCAGAACAATACTGTTGACAAGGTATCTCGTGTTGCTTCTCCCCTGCTTAGCAGTGTGAATCGATTCCCTCTAGGCATTTAGACTGTGATTTCTTAGATATGCTGCATAGTGAAAGTTAAGAACCCCAACTGAACTGTTCTCAATCTGCTTGTTTACTGGTTACTCAGTTTTTATATCTGGACGATTTGGTAGTTATGTTGATATTGTAGTTTATTTATGGTAGATTGGCCCAAAAAATGTCTTATCTGCAGTTCATAGATGCACACTACCCTACTAGTATGTGTTTACAGAACCTAAAGTGATGATGTACCGCTAGGTATAATTATATTGCTTCCAAATGTTAAGCTGCTGTTACATCTTTTCTGAAATGATATTTATCAGGACACAAACTAATTTCGATGAGCCCTGTAATCTTTAGTCCTTTGAGCTGGTGAGCCTCACAACTGAAGTCATCGTTGCAAGTGTAAACTATCAGAATACCATTTTGATATCGCGGCTGAGATGGTCACAGTGACATCAGTGAACGAAAAGTAGATTTATATTCAGCACGAGGCCTGTGTGGAGTATCCGGCTCACCTGTATTTCACACTTGCAAAATTTACTTCAGTTTGAGCACTGGTTTCATATTGGGCTGATGTATCAATATGATAGCTAATGATTGTTTTGTCATGATGCAGCCTGAGCAATCAACCATTATAGAGATGCAAGAGCCGGTGTCACTCACCTTTGCTCTGAGGTACATGAACTCCTTCACCAAGGCAAGCCCACTGTCGGACCAAGTCACCATCAGCCTCTCTTCTGAGCTGCCGGTGGTTGTCGAGTACAAGATTGGAGAGATGGGATACATTAGGTTCTATCTCGCGCCCAAGATCGAAGAGGATGAGGAAATGAAGGCATGATTGTGTTTCAAGGATATGCTTATCTTGCCTACTTTCCCTACTAGTTTAAACTGTCGTTTGCTTAACTATTGTTTGTAAGCAAAAAGGATGTTATGCTTGTTTTAGCTACTCTTGTATCTGGATTTCCAGTGATGAATGTTAGATTAGTGAATTATGCTTGTCCATGTTACACCAGTGCTGTCATGGTTAGATTTAGCATTTTTCCTTGTCAGGGACTTGTAGGGCTGCGTGGAAACAAGAAACCATAATTTCTAGCTGCCTGTACTGATTTTCTTGGCAATCCATCTTTTACAGTCTGATTAGTGTCAGCTAGCAGTATCATTTTAGTCGTTGGCCGGTCTGGTGTTGGTTCACCAGATCCGCATAGATGCCATGGTTAGTCCTATAACTAAACCCTGTGAATATGTCAATCCTGTTTCCGAGGCCGTGAATTACGCAGTCAGAAAATAGCACAATACTCTCATCAACGGAGTTTCAAGTATTCATTGGTTAGTTGCTGACAGTATGACTTGGCTGCTACTTGTACTAGTGTAGATAAGGTGCATCTGATGCTCACCATTTGCTTTACTTCACTGGTGTCATGGATGTTAAAGTGTATGTGTGGATTGTCTAGCCTTTCCAGTTCGGACTTTTGTTGCGTTGGCTAGTGCATGAAGCATAACAATGGACTGTTGCCAAAATGAAACAACCCAATGGGTAGATCTTCTAGAAACATACTACACATCCGCAAATTAGCATAACATTCATTAATTATGTTCCAATTTTTCATAGATTGAATGCTGACAGTCCAAAAATTGCTACTCTCGCCGTGATAAGGTGTCCCAAGCCCTTAACAATTCATATCCACAGGAACAACATTTCTTGATGTCATCAAAGGTGCAGTCTGACTAACTCAAAGTTGCTCCATAAATTTTTAAATAATTCTTAGAAGGTGCTGTCATGATTTTTCAAAATAAAAACAGAAGGCGGATTTGCTCAAGTTGGACACTGATGTGGTTTTATGATGTACACTATGATGTAGTTTTATGCAAAGTACTGCATGGCACAGCTACCGAACTACCGTGTCGTTTTATGCAACAGAGCACTGCATGTCACAACTACAACTAAACAGCTCTCAAAAGATCCGCTATCAAGATGGTGACTAGAACACCACTTCACATTTTGGATGAAAATCCGTGATCTGCCATTTACGGCTGAGAGGTTTAACCTTCGTTTTCATAGCAAAAAGAGAAGGAAAAAAAAGCAAAGGGTTTCAAGTTTCCTGGACTAGTTACCGGCAGCAGACACTCACAATCATTTGTACTAGTAGCTGGTTTGAGTTCATTGCGGGTTCGGAGATGGTCTTAACGCTACATATTCACATAATCAGCATTTCTTTGATTTCATATCAAGAATGCAGTCTGGCTGATACATAACTGCTACTGCTAGTATTAGACAGGTTTCATCTGATGAAGACCATTACTATCTTGGCGATCACCATTCACTATCCTAGTGCATGTCTGCCAAACTGGAGCACCAGCAATTCCAGCTCAGCTGTCAATTTGATCGCGAAATTACTTCGATTCCGCCCTCAGACCCGAGTCAGCATTACTGTTTTGAAATCTGTCAAGGATTGTGAAGGTAACTGTCAATCATTTAAATGATAAATACCAACAAGGGATAAGAATCTTGTAGAATAGCACTAAATGTATCAAATACCAAGTTGATCCGACAGAAAAGATACTGTATTAACGGTCCATATAATTTCAGAAACTTAAGTAGACTGTTAATGGAAGTGGCAGGCTTAAGATGGCTTGTAGGACAGGTAGTTTAAAGGCTGGCATAATCCAAAGTAAAATTTACTAGTAGATCAGAATTAATGACTCCCAACACAATCTTTTAGGAGTCTCAAACAGGTATATATGACACATTCCCTAAAAATATCTAGCTTGAGCCAAGAAATCTTGCTGTAATCTTTGCTACTGAAGTACTCCTACATGTTACAGCAAGCAGCTGGATCATACTTCAAGTATTCGACTCCTTAAATCCGTAAAAAAATGCTTACAAAATAATTAAATAGCAGCATGACTAACAAAAAAAAAATACTCTCCCACCATGAATTTGTACAATGCCAGGATGCAAAATTACCTCTGCAAGTGAGGCACAAACAAAATGCTTTCTGTATTATTTGGCACCATGTCTTGTGGTTGATTTTTCCAGATTGAACATGTATCGAAATGACCAGCCCTTGCTGCAGGTGTTTCCTGCCTAACAGGCTTCATTTCATGGCCTGCTATAGAAACATACAGTAAAGTCAGAAAGAAGACAAATATGTACAACAGTTGACCAAAAGGCTGAAGATGATACTAGATGATAGAGGTTAAGTTCTAACTAGTTGTCATTTGAAAGATCTCTAACCTGGCACGGAGGCGGTCTCTTGAGTTGAACATAGCCAATGCTTTAGCATTGCCTCCTCTTGAAAGATCATCTGGCATGGATAAGAAAACAAGTGAAAAGATGTACTGTATATGGGAAGTACTGACAGTTTGCTTTTCTGCATTTGCAGAGGAGGGGGGGCTTATGCTCTGCACTCAACAGAACAGTTACCTCGGCCGGTAAGGTCAACTGAAGGGATCGAAGGGGGGACTCCTGCGATGGCCCGAGAAGGAACGGAGGCTCTCGAGTTGTCGTGCACGGAACACTTGACAACACAAGAGGTTCGTGACGCGGTCGGTCTTGATTGGGATGATCAAATGAAGGTCGAGCCCCTGACATTGCTCCTAAGAAATGATTCATAGGCAGCATGGCAGCTGGTGGGTTTGATGATGCGTCGACGCTGTTCTGGTTAAGTGCGGCGCACATTTGCGATGTTGGCAGATGGCCAGCTGCTCCTGGTAAGTTCACTGAGGGACGATACATGCCATTCCTCATGGACAGCATCTGGAAGAGTTATAGCAATCAGAACACAAATCGAAATGCGACAAAGCATAGCAATCGAACTCAAATTGATGCATTGGTGCTTTCCCTAGTCAATAGAGGCGCAGAAATGGGCAGCTACTTTATTATCACAGCACAACAACAAAACTGAAAACCGATGTTTCGTTTTCATTCAGTCAAGGGCAAAACAGATAGTTCCTTGTTCAACCTACTGACGCAACAGCCTAGCTAAATCAACATGTTTTGTCCAGTTTTTTTTATTGCCAAATTAAGGGCATTAAACTCAGAGATATATTCACATTTTCGTTCAGTGTTGACCAGTACATATAAAATTTTGACTAGGTATCAAACATTCAGACAAGCAGTAGCGATGCAGCACAAACTTTTCTGTCGAGAAAATTCAGTGGAGCAGCATTTTTGCCCACTTTTCCCTAGTCAATAGAGGGGCAGAAATGGGCAGCTACTTGATTATCACAGCACAACAATGAGACTGAAAACCGATGTTTGGCAGCTATATTCACATTTTTCGTTCAGCGTTGACCATTTTAGGTGAGCACATATGAATTTTTCACTAGGTATCAAAAGTTTAGACAAGCAGTAGCGATGACGAAGCATAAACTTTTCTGTTGAGAAAATTCAGGGGAGCAGCATTCTGCTGACCTGCACTTGGAGCTGGAGGTGCTTGAGGTACTCGATGGCGTCGTCGAGCATGGAGGCCTTGTCCGTCTGCAGCCGCCGCCGGCCATACAACATCGCCTCAATTAGCTTCCAGCAAAAAAACAGAGAGGAGGGAACAGCAGTATGATTCTTGGGTGTGATGCACGGACGGACCTTGCTGGAGTTGGGCACGAGGCTCTGCAGCGCCTTCATCTTCTCGTTGATCTTGCACCGCCGCCTCTTCTCGGAGAGGTTGTGCACCTCGGCGGCGCGGGCCCTCTTGCCGCGCGGCCTCCCCGCCGGCTCCGACTCCGACGACCCCAGCGCCTCCTGCAATCAAAGTCGACCGAAAGCTCGTTACCGCGCCTGGCAAGCAAGCGATTCCGAAGGCGGCCACCCACCCACGCACTGCACTGAGCTACTGACCTCGCTGTCGCCGCGGTCGGCGGGAACAAACCCCATGCCGCCCTGGTGGTGGTGGCGGCGCATGATGAAGTCCAGGTGCTCCTGGTCCATCATGGCGCGCCGGCGACCGTCGCAGCGCCGCACTGGTGACCAGGAGAGGAGAGGAGAGCTCGCCACGAGCCGCAAGACTACTGGTCCGCCGCTGCCAGAACCGAGAAGGAGCCAAGAAAAGGAGCCCAGCAACTGTTCGGCGCCGCTGCTCACGAGGAGGAGGGAGAGCCCATGCCGCGAGCGCGACCGCACGGGCGTGCTCTGGCTCTCCTTTCCCGGGAAAAAAGCTGCAGCTGCTACGCAGAGCCTGCCTTTTGAGGTCCTTTCTTTTCACGCAGGCTCCGGGCTTCCTCCTCCACCTCGGTTCCCTCACCCTCCCCCACAGCTCTCTCTCTCTTTCTCGAGGACCAGGACGGGGACGAGGAGGGAGGGACATCGCAACTCGCAGGCGCATTGATGAAGGTGGTTTGCTGGCTGGGTTCGGCTGCCGCGTCGTCCGTCCGCGTACGCTGCATCATCGCGCCGCATTTACGCGGGGGCCATCAATGGCGTGCCGTGCTCGGCTCAACGCGCAACAGTCTCGCCTCGTGACCTCGCGCAGCTGCGGATTGCACGAGAGAGAGAGAGGATCTATCGCGGGCGTGCGTACGTGCATGTCAGTCCTGCGCTGCTCGGGGGCACTGTGGCCTCGGTCAGCCGTCAGCGTACTCGCCTTCCGCGCACTGTGCAGTCGGTGCTGGGACGTGACGTTGGAGGGGAGCTTTTCCATCCACCAGAACCGGTTTGATCTGCGCCAGCATTTCGGATTTACCGTGGGCTCTCGGGGTAAAATTGGTTCGAGCCAAGGTAAAATAAGGGCATCCGACGGCAACCCGTGAGCAACTCTAGCAGATCCCGCAAAACTACCTGACCCGCAAAATAACCGTCAAATTACAGGCCGGAGTCAGAAAATCTATACGATCAGACCACGCATCCCGTCCTGTCCCGCAAAATTTTTTGCGTGGCGCGGCAAATCTTCTCCCCCAACCTCTATCTTCACGGGCTGGGAGGCCGACCCGAGCTCAACCCTTATCCCGCGCGAGATTTGGCGGGAGGGACATTTTTGCGCGTCCTTTCCCGCTCTCCGCACCCTCCGCCACCATTGTCCCCCCTCCGCAAGCTCTGGCTGCTCCTCCCCGGCCGTCCCTCGCCGCCATGGACGACCCCATGCTGTGCCCCCTCACCGTCGAGGTCGCGCACGCCCCTTCCCCTCGGGCGGATCTCGTCGCCGGCCATGTTGGCCCCGCCGCCGTCGCCCAAGCCCACGCCGCGCCTGCCCGCAAGCGGCAGGGCAACGTGGTCGTGCAGGGCGGGAATCCGGCTGCCCCCGCCAAGATGGCCCGCGCTCCGGGCGCCAACGCGGCAGCGCGATCCCGGCCGGCGGCGGAGAAGGTCGGCAAGGTCGCGGGCGTAAAGCGGAGGAAGGTTCCGGCTTCAAAGAAGCCATCTTCTTCAACCTCTCGCTCCATCCCCCCGCAAGGAGGTGCTCCGGCGATGCCGTTCAACGGTGCTGCTCCCCTCGCGAGCGAGGTGTTTGACGAAATGGCCGGAAGGTATGCGTCTTCGGTCTTGGCGATCCCCTTTCATTTTTTGCCATTATTCACGATAGCGCGTGACTTGTTATCATTCGCTATAGCGGTGGTTCGAACAATGCAACAACCGAGTTCGTGAACTTGTTGGACACGAACGCGGTTGACGTTGATCAAGCCCCTTTCAAACCATTCGACTATAATGAAACGGAGGGCAACGTGGATGATCATGGTTGTGCGGACGAATTGGAGGAGATCGAAGCGGAATCATTTGAGCAATCGCAAGCAAAATCTGGAAAAAACATAAGATCGAAGAACTACACGATTTTGGAAGATCAAGCTTTGATTCAAGCATGGAGTGTGGTGTCTCTTGATGCATGCACGGGTACTTCTCAAACATCCAAGAGATATTGGTAAAGGATCAAAGATCAATACTTCCGCATTATGACAAAGTATCCCAATAGTACTTCACGCACATTTCGGTCGCTTTAAGGGCGTTGGGAGAATATCAAGCCTATGTGCAGCCGTTGGGCAGCTTGCTTGGAGCAAGTACGCAATGCACCTTCAAGTGGCACCGTGGAGTCTGACTATGTGAGTTTGTTTTGCCTTTGTTCAAATTGTGCATCATCATATTGCATCATGGGAAATGATTGGATCACTTTGTTCACATTGTGTAGGACAAGATTGCTCAACATAGATACAAGGACATGGAAGCTTCGGAAGGAAAATTTTTCAAACTAGAGCATTGTTGGGAGTTTCTCCAAAAGTGCGAGAAGTGAAAGTTGATCGACAAAGAATCCCCACCAAAGAGAGGCTCACTTACAAACATGGATGAAGATGAGGATGATGATGGCCCAAGAAATTTGCACAAGTCCGATGACGACAAGAAGACTAAGGAGCATATGAAGAGAGAGCAAGAAGCGTCGAGCTTGAGGGAGAAGATTGATGCCATGGTGCAATCCAATGAGTCGATGTTGTTGAAGTCGTTGGAGATCAAGAAAGAGTTGGCCGAGAAGAAGGTGAAGGGGAAGCAAGAAAAGTGGCAGTTGCTCAAAGAAGTGGGGCTGCGCAAAGCTGCCATCGAGGAGAGAAGAGCACGCGCCGCTGAAAACAAATCCATGTCCATGTTGCTCGCCGAAGAGAACAAGATCATGTCAATGAACCACAATGACATGGACGACCTCACCAAAACATGGCATGATATGGCAAGGAGAGAAATCTTGAAGAGAAGAATGGTGGCCCGTAGAAAGGCATATTCCGCGAATATACTTTTTTACGGATCCGTTTGGGGGGTCTGCTTCTGTGTCAGCCCGCGCCAGCCCGTAAAAGCGATTTTGCGTGAAGTGCAAACGCGTTTTGCAGGCCGGTGGGATGCGGGGTCTGCTAGGGTTGCTCTAAAAGTCCTCCTGCATCCATCCGCGGACGGGGGAGAACAGTTTGCGGACATGAATGCGAGAGGACGCCGCCGTGTACTCCCTCCGTTTCTTTTTACTCCGCATATAAGGCCAACTCCACCGTGCGACCCCATCTTATCCGGGTGCGTCCGTTTGGATTAAAACGGACAAATAGCGCGGCCCAATGCGCGGCCCCAAACGGACAAATGTTCCGATTCCGTCCGTTTTCGACCCATCCCCGCCCAAATTTGCGCCAAGTTTGAGGTGAAACGGACATCGCGCGGACGGGCTCGCCGCACGCCCTTGTCCTACCGTGGCCCGCCTGTCAGGGACACTAGCAGTCCCTTCGCTTCCAGCGCCTCCACCCCCTCTCCTTGCCCCGCCCCGCCGTCGGCGCCGCCGCTATTCTCCGGCCGCCTCCTCACCGCGCAGCCGTCGGCCGTCCATACCAAACCATGCCCGCGCGTTCGCCGTAGTTTTGGCCGTCGATCATAGGAGGTTTGGCCATCGCCGTCATTGCCGCCGGCAGAGGGGATACGACCGCCGGCGACATACCACGGCGGCCACGGCAGCTTCCGATGAGAGCTCTAGAGCGGTTAGTAGCCGGTCGGCAACCACCCCTGCCGCGTCGAGGTGATCATTACGGCCTTTTTGCCATCACGACCGCAATTTGTTTGACACTTTGCCCACAAAGGTATGGACAGTGGAGATGAGTTTTTCTACCATGACTTCATTTGTTCATCGGACGATTCGTCGTCGGATGATGAAGATCTTGTGGTGGCTGCACTGGTCGTTCACGACCACATTCAACGACAGCTTCCTCGGTACAGGGGATCAGTCCCTGGCCGTGCTCCCAACCTGAACCGCAACAGGGAGAGAGGCCACGCCCTGCTCTATGCCGATTACTTTTTCAACACCCCGCTCTTCAAGCGGATAAATTCCGTCACCATTTTCGAATGGCAAGGCATGTGTTCAATCGTATCTGAGAGGGAGTGGTTGCTCATGACCCATACTTCGAGTGCAAGACGGATGCCCTTGGCAAGCTTGGATTCTCCTCTTATCAGAAATGCACCGCGGCCATCCGCATGCTTGCATATGGAATTCCAGGCGATCTGGTGGATGAGTATGTGCGTATGAGTGAGACAACATGTCTGATGTCAATGTACAAGTTCTGTCAGGCTGTGATCGAGGTGTTTGGCCCTGAGTACTTGAGGCAGCCAACTGCTGCTGATACAGAGAGATTGTTGGCGACCAACGCAACTAGAGGCTTTTCCAGGCATGCTTTGCAGTATAGATTGTATGCACTGGGAGTGGAAGAACTGTCCATTTATTTGGCAAGGCCGGTACAAGGGGCATGTCAAGGCGTGCACTGTCATATTAGAAGCGGTGGCTTCGCAGGATCTTTGGATATGGCATTATTTCTTCGGCATGGAAGGTTCTCACAATGATATCAACGTGCTGCAGCGTTCTCCAGTCTTCGCAAGGCTTGCAGAAAGCCACTCCCCACTTGTCAACTTTGAGATCAATGGCCACCAGTACAACAAGGGATACTATCTAGCTGATGATATATATCCTCACTGGTCAACTTTTGTGAAGACAATCTCGAAACCCCAAGGTGAGAAGAGAAAGAGATTTGCCCAAATGCAAGAGAGTGCTAGAAAGGATGTGGAACGTGCTTTTGGTGTGCTTCAATCCCGGTGGGGTATCATTCGAAACCCTGCACTGTCATGGGATGAAACAAAGCTTTGGGAGGTGATGATTGCTTGTGTGATCATGCACAACATGATCGTCAAGAACGAGCGTGATGAGAGTATCTTCGACCAAGGATTTGATTATCAAGGTGAAAATGTTGAGCCCCTGCACCAAGAACCGGCCACATTTGAACACTTTGTTCAATTCCACCGTGAGCTGCGTGATTGGCACACTCATTTGGATCTTCAAAATGACTTGGTTGAGCACGTGTTGGATCACATTGGCAACCAATAGATGTATTGGCTCATTTTATGTTCAGTCAAAACAATTTCGATTTGATTGTAAAACTATTTTATTAGAGACAATTTCAATTGGGTTGTAAAACTATTTTTATTTTCAGACAAATATT